CACACACACACACACACACACACACACATACGATTACATACACACACTTACACACACAAATATGTATTCACAAACATACAAATACACGTACTGAAAGCTTACAAAGAAAAAGCAACGGAGCAAAACAGAACATACAAATCTTTACCATTCATACTTTCGTTGAAGGGTTGTGCGCCCCTCGTCATGAGGCCAGCCTTCTTCCGCTCTTGGACACGCCCCTCGCTGTCAGTGACGTCATTCTCGTCTGAGATACGGCCCAACTGTCGCGTCATGTCGTTGTTTGGAGACCTCTGGAAACCTCTCTTGGTGTTGAGGAATCCTTGTGACTTGTGATTGCTAGTCCGAGCGCGTTTCCAGGTATCTTGACCGAACGGGTCACGCAGTAAAGAGAGGGATGGGCGAGGGGGTTCGCTGACTGCCCTTGGCGGTCCATATTTGACGTAAGGTTGAGACCCCGCCTCTATATTGTATAGATTCAGTGGCATAGGATATGGGTAGAGTGGCCCTGACTGACTGACGTACAAGTCGGAGTATTTGTTGTTGTATAAAGAGTGGGATCCGAACGACGAATTGGGAGGGACCGGAGGCGGAGTCCTGCCGTTTGCTCCTAGTATACCAAGGCCCAATCTGCTTTCACCATTGGGCACGCACGGATATCCGTGTTTGTGATTGACAAGTCTAGCTCCCGGGGGCGGAGCATGACCTAAAGTACTAATCCAGGGGGAGACCCCGCGTACACCAAGATCGAGTCCATGAGATGGGAGCGTTACGCGAACATGAGGCGGTTTGGTGGGACTATTTTGCCCTTCACCGGGGGAGCTGCGCACTCCCACGCCGTTCCTAACCACAGGCAGAGCCGGAAGTGAAGACGACACTGCTGTCGTGTGGTTCTCGTCCCGCCTGGCCCTTGGAGACCGCCCTACTAACACATACCTGGGCGCTGCCAACTTCTGACTACCCCGAAGCTGTCCCGATATGTTCTCATCTCGATGACGAGAGTTCTTTAGTCCGAGAAGGCAAGTTTTGTACGAGGTCAACGAAGAAGAGTTCAGATCTTGAGAATAATGTTCCGACTCTGTCTCACTCACAGTGTCCTGACCGTGTAGTCTATAATTTGACCTTGACGTGTCCGAGGTATGCCCGTTGTGCTCAGACGTCAAACTGTGGGACGACAACTCATTTCCTGGGTCCACACAAAGTGTTGGATTCTGGTCCAGGTTACCCAGGGCTGTCAATCCCCGACCCGATTGTTTCTTTCGGAAACCCTTCACTGACTCGATAGGGAAGGAAAAGGTAGCTCGCCCAGAATCAGTGCTGTCCTTCAGTATGTTGTAAGTTGCTGAAAATGATAAGAATGATGAAGCATTGGTTTCACGTCCCTGTGACCAGTATAAGGTTATTCAAAGGGCAGGCCCGCCAACATTATGTCCATCTCAGAAATTAACGAGGTAATGCGAGTGGAGTCTTAAAAACTACTAAAACGACCTTAAGCCAAGCATTTGAATCACAGTCGTCCGCATGTAGGCCGTTCAAGTATGGTATGAATTGAGCTAATGTTATGCCCGCGAAAAGAATGAAAACGTCTACTTTAACAGTGATTCTTTGATGGAAAATATTACTAGGGTATACCCTCCCCCCCCTTCTTCGTCTTTGCAAATCAAGACGATCAAGGACATCTGTTTCCTGTTCTTTTAAAAAATAATAACAACCCCACCAAAACCCTAAATATTGCTCATTGTATCAAGCAGTTCGAAATAGAGGTCCCAACTTAACATTAACTAATTTTATCATTTAACATAGTTGACACAGGAGTAACATTTATACAACATTGCACCGCACCTCTTTATATCCGACAAGCCGCTCCCAGCGGCTCGCGGTCGGAACCACTGTGTCGGTGAGCCGCTGGCAACGGCTCGGGCACATTCCTTCACGACGGCTTCAACTTCAAATGACTCTTCGGCAATTGCTGGAAACAGGTCTTTTTTATCGGGATTTCATTTATTAGGTAAAGAACTATCAAATCAGGTTCACTTGCTTTGATTTAATGACCAGTTTAGTGACGTTTTCGTCATTTTTAGATTTAATACACCCCCACCCCCCAAAAGAAGAAAACACACACAAAAAACAACAACAACAGCAACAACAAAACCACCACCACCACCACCAACAACAACAAAGGACCCGGGCATAGTGGGTTTACTCCCCTCGGAGATAAAAAGGTAAACTTAAAAGGCATTTCAAATGCAGTTTGACGTCAATATTGTTATCAGTTTATTACAAGCCATATACTTGTATTGTAATAACCCAGATCGAGCACTGCCGTAATTCTAGTTTCCTATACGGTGCATGATTTGACTCAAGGGGGCAAATGTGCCTCACGCACACTATTGTACCGGGACTGGTGTTTTGCCCCTTCATTTTAACGCGTATGATGTGCACGCTTCGGCAGCGAAGTTTTCATAGAATGCAAAATGCGGTGGCCATGGCATTGCACAATCTGTGATATTGATTATAATATTATTGCAAGCCTAGAATTCAAGCACTGGTAATTTATCCACTAGCATTAGAACGATCTATATCAAGGCTCGATGAGAGAAATTAAAGTCTGGATTTCAGTACGAATCTCCATCACTATACTGTTTCTTTTAAGTCTTGGAATCAAGGAGCCAACGATCTTTACTATTATTTTTTTCTGAGCAACGGTTGTCTATGGAGGAGTGGTACAGCTTTTAGGAGTCATATACAGAAACCATGAAAAGATCCATGGGATGTCCAATCTTAATTCATCGCATTTTTCCATCTTCTATTGTGGAGTCCCCTGTCTCTCTCAGCCCGGGAGAGCCCTGACAAACTGTATTGAAGAAGGCCGCCTCCTAAATAATAGTGTGAATGGGGGTGTAAAACAATTGCAATCACTATGATTTTAGAAAATGAATCTTTAAAATACCACCATCTTTTGTACACTTATAGTGCATGACAGTAAATTCAGAATGTAATTTGTTCTAATATCTCATCACATACCAGCAGCTGGACTGAGCTTCCTCTCCAGAACAGAATTGATGACGTCACTCTCGCTAAATCTGTACATTGTGCACATGTATTTGATAACACCGTGATTTAGTGAGCCTGCGCCGCCGTTCTTCGACACCGGAGGGTATCGTTTGATTGGCTGTCCTTCAGGATATATTAACCAATGGTGAGACAGCATCTCTTCTGTGGATATCCTGCGGCTCTCGTGCAACTCCAACATCCTCCGCAGCAAGTTCTGGCACGCTGTTGATTTATATAGTCAGAAAGAAAGAAGGCAAATAAGAGGTTCAGGAAAATTCTTCTATACCAACTAGCATTCTGTTTATCTATCCACTAACTATCCATTTCAACAAACACCCACTGGTGATTTCGTTCAATTTTTCCTCTATGCATCCATCTGCACATAAACCAGTCTATCTATTCATCAATTAATTCATTGCCATTCTGCCATCCCTTGGTTCATACATTCACCCACACATACAACCGTACCTCTGCATCCACCCAACCGCCCATTTGTTCGTTTGTTTATCTATTCGATCCACCTGTCCGAATACCCATCCATCCATCCATCCACCCACCCACCTTCCTTCCATCCATCCATCCCTCCATTCGTCCATCCATCCATCCATCCATCCATCCATCCATCCACCAGTCTGCCCGTTTATTGATTGGTCATCTTTCAGAGCATAGCAATATGCACGTGTCTCTCTCCCAGTCCGCCAACTGACAGCTTGGTTATACTGAGTTCGGACAAGAGCATTTACTACCTATGTGTGCGGCATCATTTGGAAATTAGGCGCTCGTCAAAATAAATAATAAAATCAAAGAAACTGGCATTTTACGCTCGTTAGTCAATTTTCACCTTTTGGGGTGGGTGATAGATTGGGGGTAAACACAATATTTTTGTCCATTCAAACCATATTTCTGTGTAGATATTACGGGGAAAACGTCGATGAAAAGCACAATGACGTAAATTTGCAGTATCCATGGACACGCAATCTGTAGAAGTAATCAAATTTTGGCGGCCATTTTATCTCTTATTTTACCTCCGACATCAGGCGACTCCTAAGTCCTTCAATCGCAAATGTATCGACAATCGACTTCTATTCCAGATAAATGAATCCTTTTGTCTTCAAAAGCAAAACAATTGAACACGCTTTAAAATAACAGCAATAAGTTTATATGTTTAAAATTGACGAGCGCCTGATTCCATCGCGTCGTGACACATTTATACTTGCATGGGGATAAAGTGTCCGGGATTTGGCAACCCTTGATAATGAGAGAGTAGAGTTGTGCCAAGGATGTGACGTCAGAGGGTAGGAAGGGCAATCTTCCAATCAGCATGGCGTAGAAACAGACACCCCTGGGGGGGTGAAAAGACAGCTTGCATATCGTCTTGTTTTTTTCCCTTATACAATAAAGGTACATTCCTATATCAATACGATCACACACACCCACACAAATTCACACATACGACCCATTATATGTATGTAAGTACACATGTGAGCATACACCTTTACTTAGATAAGAACGCGCGCGCACACACACACACACACACACACACACACACACACACACACATACACACAAGCACACACACATTAACACATACACCTAAACACGCACGCTTGCATACATATACACTCGCACATAAAACAACCTGCTCATCACCCTCTT